AAGGTCCACCTTTGTCTCCAGCTGTTCGAGGACAACTCCAACATTGACCATTTGGGACTTCCTAGGAAACCTGGGAACCATTTGGTAACCTGGAGGAGCTCTTCTGAGGGATTCGAGCCTTACCGAACAAGCAGAAAAGAACAAACTGTTGGGGACAAGAAGGGGTCTATGATACCTACTAGCCAAAAGGTCCAACGTTGTCTCCAGCTGCTTGAGGACAACTCCAACATTGACCATTTAGGACTTCCCAAGAACCAAGCCCCCCCCCCCCATTAAAACAGCTGAGCACCATACCACCAGATGGGCCCCCAGCTTGTTAACTATCTCCCCTTTTCACAGACCCCCAAAGACCCCTGAACCCACCAAGCTACCATGTCGCTCACATGATAAACCAAATCTATGGTAGAGGAGTAAATGCGGGAGGTCAGCAGGGAAAACCTTCTTCCCATGTCAACCTTCTGGAATGAACTTCCAGCAGCCTACCCCACCCCGCGGCTCCTCTCTGTCACCAGTCTGGTAAAGTTTACTGTTTTTTTTCCACTGACCCCTAATGTAAGGGACATTCTTCCCACTAATGTAAGGGACATTCTTCCCACTGACCCCCAATGTAAGGGACATTCTTCCCACTGACCCCCAATGTAAGGGGACATTCTTCCCACTGACCCCCAATGTAAGGGGCATTCTTCCCACTGACCCCCAATGGGACATTCTTCCCACTGATCACCAATGTAAGGGACATTCTTCCCACTGATCACCAATGTAAGGGACATTCTTCCCACTGACCCCCAATGTAAGGGACATTCTTCCCACTGACCCCCAATGTAAGGGACATTCTTTCCCACTGACCCCCAATGTAAGGGACATTCTTCTCACTGACCCCAATGTAAGGGACATTTCTTCCCACTGACCCCACTAAGGGACACTTCTCACTGACCCCCAATGTAAGGGACATTCTTCCCACTGACCCCCAATGTAAAGGACATTCTTCCCACTGACCCCCAATGTAAGGACACCACACTGACCCCCAATGTAAGGGGACATTCTTCCAATGTAAACATTCTTCCCACTGACCTCCAATGTAAGGGACATTCTTCCCCTGATCCCCAATGTAAGGGACATTCTTTCCCACTGACCCCCAATGTAAAGGGACATTCTTCCCACTGACCCCCAATGTAAGGGACATTCTTCCCACTGACCACCAATGTAAAGGGACATGTAAGGGACATTCTTCCCACTGACCCACCAATGTAAGGGACATTCTTCCCACTGACCTCCAATGTAAGGGACATTCTTCCCACTGACCACCAATGTAAGGGACATTCTTCCCACTGACCCCCAATGTAAGGGACATTCTTCCCACTGACCCCCAATGTAAGGGACATTCTTCCACCTGATCCAATGTAAGGGACATTCTTCCCACTGACCCACCAATGTAAGGGACATTCTTCCCACTGACCCCCCAATGTAAGGGACATTCTTCCCACTGACCCCAATGTAAGGGACATTCTTCCCACTGACCCCCAATGTAAGGGACATTCTTCCCACTGACCCCAATGTAAGGGACATTCTTCCCACTGACACTCCAATGTAAGGGACATTCTGTAAGGGACATTCCCACTGACCCACCAATGTAAGGGACATTCTTCCCACTGACCCCCAATGTAAGGGACATTCTTCCCACTGACCACCAATGTAAGGGACATTCTTCCCACTGACCACCAATGTAAGGGACATTCTTCCCACTGACCCCCAATGTAAGGGACATTCTTCCCACTGACCCCCAATGTAAGGGACATTCTTTCCCACTGACCCCCAATGTAAGGGACATTCTTCCCACTGACCCCCAAATGTAAGGGACATTCTTCCCACTGACCCCCAATGTAAGGGACATTCTTCCCACTGATCACCAATGTAAGGGACATTCTTCCCACTGACCACCAATGTAAGGGACATTCTTCCCACTGACCACCAATGTAAGGGACATTCTTTCCCACTGAGGGACATTCTTCCCACCCACCAATGTAAGGGACATTCTTCCCCACTGCGACTCCCCCAATGTAAGGACATTCTTCCCACTGACCCCCCAATGTAAGGGACATTCTTCCCACTGACCCCCAATGTAAGGGACATTCTTCCCACTGACCCCCAATGTAAGGGACATTCTTTCCCACTGACCCCCAATGTAAGGGACATTCTTCCCACTGACCCCCAATGTAAGGGACATTCTTCCCACTGACCCCCAATGTAAGGGACATTCTTCCCACTGATCACCAATGTAAGGGACATTCTTCCCACTGACACCCCAATGTAAAGGGACATTCTTCCCACTGACCCCCAATGTAAGGGACATTCTTCCCACTGATCACCAATGTAAGGGACATTCTTCCTCTGACCCCCAATGTAAGGGACATTCTTCCCACTGACCCCCAATGTAAGGGACATTCTTCCCACTGACCCCCAATGTAAGGAGCATTCTTCCCACTGACCCCCAATGTAAGGGACATTCTTCCCACTGACCCCAATGTAAGGGACATTCTTCCCACTGACCCCCAATGTAAGGGACATTCTTCCTCACTGACCCCCAATGTAAGGGACATTCTTCCCACTGATCACCAATGTAAGGGACATTCTTCCCATTCTTCCCACTGACCCCCAATGTAAGGGACATTCTTCCCTTCTGACCCCCAATGTAAGGGACATTCTTCCCACTGACCCCCAATGTAAGGGACATTCTTCCCTCTGACCCCCAATGTAAGGAACATTCTTCCCACTGACCACCAATGTAAGGAACATTCTTCCCACTGACCACCAATGTAAGGGACATTCTTCCCACTGACCACCAATGTAAGGGAACATTCTTCCCACTGACCACCAATGTAAGGGACATTCTTCCCACTGACCCCCAATGTAAGGGACATTCTTCCCACTGACCACCAATGTAAGGGACATTCTTTCCCACTGACCCCCAATGTAAGGGACATTCTTCCCTCTGACCCCCAATGTAAGGGGCATTCTTCCCACTGACCCCCAATGTAAGGAGCATTCTTCCCACTGACCCCCAATGTAAGGGACATTCTTATCACTGACCCCCAATGTAAGGGACATTCTTCCCACTGATCACCAATGTAAGGGACATTCTTCCCACCGATCACCAATGTAAGGGACATTCTTCCCACCGATCACCAATGTAAGGGACATTCTTCCCACTGACCCCCAATGTAAGGGACATTCTTCCCACTGACCCCCAATGTAAGGGACATTCTTCCCTCTGACCCCCAATGTAAGGGACATTCTTCCCTCTGACCCCCAATGTAAGGGACATTCTTCCCACTGACCACCAATGTAATGGGACATTCTTCCCACTGACCCCCAATGTAAGGGACATTCTTCCCACTGATCACCAATGTAAGGGACATTCTTCCCACTGATCACCAATGTAAGGGGCATTCTTCCCACTGACCACCAATGTAATGGACATTCTTCCCACTGACCCCCAATGTAAGGGACATTCTTCCCACTGACCCCCAATGTAAGGGACATTCTTCCCACTGACCACCAATGTAAGGGACATTCTTCCCACTGATCACCAATGTAAGGGACATTCTTCCCACTGACCACCAATGTAAGGGACATTCTTCCCACTGACCACTGACCAATGTAAGGGACATTCTTCCCACTGACCCCCCAATGTAAGGGGCATTCTTCCCACTGACCCCCAATGTAAGGGACATTCTTCCCACTGACCCCCAATGTAAGGAGCATTCTTCCCACTGACCTCCAATGTAAGGGACATTCTTCCCACTGACCCCCAATGTAAGGGACATTCTTCCCACTGACCACCAATGTAAGGGACATTCTTCCCACTGACCCCCAATGTAAGGGACATTCTTCTCACTGACCCCCAATGTAAGGGACATTCTTCTCACTGACCCCCAATGTAAGGGACATTCTTCTCACTGACCCCCAATGTAAGGGACATTCTTCCCACTGACCCCCAATGTAAGGGACATTCTTCTCACTGACCCCCAATGTAAGGGACATTCTTCCCACCGATCACCAATGTAAGGGACATTCTTCCCACTGACCCCCCAATGTAAGGGACATTCTTCCAACTGACCCCCAATGTAAGGGACATTCTTCCCACTGATCACCAATGTAAGGGACATTCTTCCCACTGATCACCAATGTAAGGGAACATTCTTCCCACTGACCACCAATGTAAGGGACATTCTTCCCACTGACCCCCAATGTAAGGGACATTCTTCCCACTGACCACCAATGTAAGGGACATTCTTCCCACTGACCCCCAATGTAAGGGACATTCTTCCCTCTGACCCCCAATGTAAGGGGCATTCTTCCCACTGACCACCAATGTAAGGGACATTCTTCCCACTGATCACCAATGTAAGGGACATTCTTCCCACTGACCACCAATGTAAGGGACATTCTTCCCACTGACCCCCAATGTAAGGGACATTCTTCCCACTGACCCCCAATGTAAGGGGCATTCTTCCCACTGACCCCCAATGTAAGGGACATTCTTCCCACTGATCACCAATGTAAGGGACATTCTTCCCACTGATCCCCAATGTAAGGGACATTCTTCCCACTGACCCCCAATGTAAGGGACATTCTTCCCACTGACCCCCAATGTAAGGGACATTCTTCACACTGACCCCCAATGTAAGGGACATTCTTCCCACTGACCCCCAATGTAAGGGACATTCTTCCCACTGACCCCCAATGTAAGGGACATTAAGGGACATTCTTCCCACTGACCACCAATGTAAGGGACATTCTTCCCACTGACCCCAATGTAAGGGACATTCTTCCCACTGACCCCCAATGTAAGGGACATTCTTCCCCACTGACCCCCAATGTAAGGGGCATTCTTCCCACTGACCCCCAATGTAAGGGACATTCTTCCCACTGACCACCAATGTAAGGGACATTGGTACACGTTAGTCCCATGTTCCCCATGTCACCATCATCTCACTTACATGTTTCTCCAATGTATGAAGGTTGTGCTCATCGGAGTCATTCAAGGTGCTGCAATGCATCTGAAAAGCAAACAACAATGGATGAACACTCAGCATACAATGTACATGAAACCCATCATTATCACAGGACAGGCTATGATGTCACACCCCCCAAATACTACTTATGGACCCCAAAGCTGAGCTTTCCCCGCCATAGTCCCTGACTATGCTCCTGCACACCGGAGAGATCTGCGTGTCCCCCAACCAGAATGTTCCAGCATTCCATAATATGAAATGGACATTCTAATGGGGACAACTGATGTAAGGGGGCACTCTGATGGGAATGTCTGATGTAAGGGGGCACTCTGATGGGAATGTCTGATGTAAGGGGGAACTCTGATAGGAATGCCTGATGTAAGGGGGCACTCTGATGGAATGTCTGATGTAAGGGGGCACTCTGATGGGAATGTCTGATGTAAGGGGGCACTCTGATGGGAATGTCTGATGTAAGGGGGAACTCTGATAGGAATGCCTGATGTAAGGGGCACTCTGATGGGAATGTCTGATGTAAGGGGGCACTCTGATGTGAAATGTCTGATGTAAAGGGGGAACTCTGATAGGAATGCCTGATGTAAGGGGGCACTCTGATGGGAATGTCTGATGTAAGGGGGCACTCTGATGGGAATGTCTGATGTAAGGGGGCACTCTGATGGGAATGTCTGATGTAAGGGGGCACTCTGATGGGAATGCCTGATGTAAGGGGGCACTCTGATGGGAATGTCTGATGTAAGGGGGCACTCTGATGGGAATGTCTGATGTAAGGGGGCACTCTGATGGGAATGTCTCATGTAAGGGGGCACTCTGATGGGAAAACCTGATGTAAGGGGGCACTCTGATGAGAATGCCTGATGTAAGGGGGCACTCTGATGGGAATGTCTGATGTAAGGGGGCACTCTGATGGGAATGTCTGATGTAAGGGGGCACTCTGATGGGATTGCCTGATGTAAGGGGGCACTCTGATGGGAATGCCTGATGTAAGGAGGCACTCTGATGGGAAATGTCTGATGTAAGGGGGCACTCTGATGGGAATGCCTGATGTAAGGGGGCACTCTGATGGGAATGCCTGATGTAAGGGGGCACTCTGATGGGAATGCCTGATGTAAGGGGGCACTCTGATGGGAATGCCTGATGTAAGGGGGCACTCTGATGGGAATGCCTGATGTAAGGGGGGGCACTCTGATGGGAATGCCTGATGTAAGGGGGCACTCTGATGGGAATGCCTGATGTAAGGGGGCACTCTGATGGGAATGCCTGATGTAAGGGGGCACTCTGATGGGAATGCCTGATGTAAGGGGGCACTCTGATGGGAATGCCTGATGTAAGGGGGCACTGTGATGGGAATGTCTGATGTAAGGGGGCACTCTGATGGGAATGCCTGATGTAAGGGGGCACTCTGATGGGAATGCCTGATGTAAGGGGGCACTCTGATGGGATTGCCTGATGTAAGGGGGCACTCTGATGGGAATGCCTGATGTAAGGGGGCACTCTGATGGGATTGCCTGATGTAAGGGGGCACTCTGATGGGAATGTCTGATGTAAGGGGGCACTCTGATGGGAATGCCTGATGTAAGGGGGCACTCTGATGGGAATGCCTGATGTAAGGGGCACTCTGATGGGAATGCCTGATGTAAGGGGGCACTCTGATGGGAATGTCTGTTGTAAGGGGGCACTGTGATGGGAATGCCTGATGTAAGGGGGCACTCTGATGGGAATGTCTGTTGTAAGGGGGCACTCTGATAGGAACACATTACTTAAGGGGGTGCTCTGATGGGAACGCATGATATAGGGGAGTATTCTGATGGTGGCAACTGATTTATGGGGGAAATCTGATGGTGGCACCCAATGTAATAAATTACTCTGGAGGGGGAAGCTGATGTTAGGGGGAACACCAATGGGGACTGTAACGGATCCGACCCCAGACTGCACTGGAGGGCTGCTGGAGACACCCCCCACCAAGCCAATACACATAAACACATACATCCCATAATAGGTTGCTCCCAAGCAAGACACACAGTAGAACAATGGAATGCAACCACATGGCATTACACAATCAACAACCCCCCCACCCCAATATTAGGACAGATCCCCCTCTACCCCCAACAGGCACAGGGTGACTTACACATAAGAGGGATATGGGGAGCTGAGACAGGGTCTCCCCACCTCTGTTCCACGGGCCCCCCCATCCAAAGTGACTCCCATCACAGGGACATTTATTTTCGGACCTCGGCCAGAAGAGGATTTTAGTCACCAGACCTCCTTGAATTTTAATTCAATACCCTCGATCTAGGGCTTTCATCCTCAGCCTGACTGCCCCTGGCCCCGCCCCTTTCACTCACTGGAATTCAATTCTAGAGGCTCAGCCTAACATGTGGGCGTTACCTATGCAAATACAGCCTAACAACGTCTACAATGACATCCGCCCATTTTGCTATTTGCATAACTCCTCCTAAGGACCAGCCCGCCGCTTGCGTCAGAGCTCAGAGCACGGAGGCGGGGTGCTGTGATGTTTTTCAGAGGCCATGTACAGCACCCTGTTGGCCCCTCCCACCAGCCATGATCTGCCTGCATTGCACAGAGAAGCACAGAGACCCAGTGATGATGTCACTGGCCCCAAAATTAGATATATAAAATGGAAAATGGAAGAGGTCGTATTTAATGAAGGGGGAAGATAAAATATAAGCAGATTAAAAGTTTGGCTTTGAACCCGCACTGCTTCTGATAGAGACGAAGATCTAGGAAGACGATCATTTCCCACTAGACGGACCTGCAGCCTTTCCTGCCATTAGAGATTCCTGGATATCGCTCCATCTGCCAGAGACGCCTCGCGCCGCGCATTAGCCGCGCAGGTTTTGCTTTTAGCGGGGGAGGGGATGGACGGGAGGGCCAGGATATTGGCCATTATCAGTAGAGTGCTCTCTCCCATACACCTGCCATTCCCGGAATGTACGGGAAAATGACACAAAGAATACGCCTCTCATACCGCCCACAGGACAGACACCCCTCCATCACCTTCGCTGGATCCAGGCAGGGCAAAACAAATTTAACCCCTTCCTGTGTCCCTTTACAAGGTTCTGAATGCGCCATGGGGGGAGGGGGGGCAGAAAGGATCAGTGATCACATGACCACTGCGACTGGCTGCCTAAGTGGCCTCATGATCGGGAGACGGTCATACAAATAAATTTAGGAAAATAGCAAATTCTGGCCACTAGATGGAGCTGACAAATATTTAATTACTGGGATCGTCAGCTCCATCTGCTGGCCATAATGTGGTATTTTCCCAACACCGCACATTTTTTTTAGTGAATGAATAACGCTCGACCTGTAGAGAAAATGAGCCTAGGAACATTCGATTTTGCTGGTTTTCGCACAGAATGATGAATAGTAAAGCCGCCTGTGGATGGTGCCGAGTCAGCAGGTGACCACACTGTCCGGGCAGGCCGGGTCGATAGAGGAATGTCAATGCATTTTGGAATGGATTAATTCAGAACATACATCTAGGGATCCTCTAGGGCAGGGGTCTCCAAACGAACGGCCAGTGTACTGTCCTTTAGACTTTGAGGGTCCAGACCGTGACCAGCGAGGAGGAATAGTGCCCATTGTTTCATTGGTGTCAGTGGGAGGAATAGTGCCCCATCATTGGTATCAGTGGGAGGAATAGTGCCCCATCATTGGTGTCAGTGGGAGGAAAATAGTGCCCCCTCATTGGTGTCAGTGGAGGAATAGTGCCCCATCATTGGTGTCAGTGGGAGGAATAGTGCCCCATCATTGGTATCAGTGGGAGGAATAGTGCCCCATCATTGGTATCAGTGGGAGGAATAGTGCCCCATCATTGGTGTCAGTGGGAGGAATAGTGCCCCATCATTGGTGTTAGTGGGAGGAATAGTGCCCCCATCATTGGTGTCAGTGGGAGGAATAGTGCCCCATCATTGGTATAAGTAGGAGAAATAGTGCCCCATCATTGGTGTCAGTGGGAGGAATAGTGTCCCATCATTGGTGTCAGTGGGAGGAATAGTGTCCCATCATTGGTATCAGTGGAAGGAATAGTGTCCCATCATTGGTGTCAGTGGGAGGAATAGTGCCCCATCATTGGTGTCAGTGGGAGGAATAGTGCCCCATCATTGGTGTCAGTGGGAGGAATAGTGCGCCATCATTGGTGTCAGTGGGAGGAATAGTGCCCCATCATTGGTGTCAGTGGGAGGAATAGTGCCCCATCATTGGTGTCAGTAGGAGGAATAGTGCCCCATCATTGGTATCAGTGGGAGGAATAGTACCCCATCATTGGTATCAGTGGGAGGAATAGTGCCCCATCATTGGTGTCAGTGGGAGGAATAGTGCCCCATCATTGGTGTCAGTGGGAGGAATAGTGCCCCGTCATTGGTGTCAGTGGGAGGAATAGTGTCCCATCATTGGTGTCAGTGGAGGAATAGTGCCCCATCATTGGTGTCAGTGGGAGGAATAGTGCCCCATCATTGGTGTCAGTGGGAGGAATAGTGCCCCATACATTGGTATCAGTGGGAGGAATAGTGCCCCATCATTGGTGTCAGTGGGAGGAATAGTGCCCCATCATTGGTGTCAGTGGGAGGAATAGTGCGCCATCATTGGTGTCAGTGGGAGGAATAGTGCCCCATCATTGGTGTCAGTGGGAGGAATAGTGCCCCATCATTGGTGTCAGTAGGAGGAATAGTGCCCCATCATTGGTATCAGTGGGAGGAATAGTACCCCATCATTGGTATCAGTGGGAGGAATAGTTGCCCCATCATGGTGTCAGTGGGAGGAATAGTGCCCATCATTGGTGTCAGTGGGAGGAATAGTGCCCCGTCATTGGTGTCAGTGGGAGGAATAGTGTCCCATCATTTGGTGTCAGTGGAGGAATAGTGTCCCATCATTGGTGCCCCATCACACCTTGCTGAGGAGGGATATAGAGGTGCGTAGTGGGCGGTACTTACCAGTATGACGCACAGGACACGCCCACTCTCTTGCTCTATCAGCGGTAGGATCACAACTGCACAACACAAAGGGACAAGGGTCAGGGGCCGGCGGGAACAGAGGGTCAAAGTTCAGCTCCTGTCCACTAAGGGGGGCGCCTGAGGACATCAATCCACTTTCTGCCTTTGCAAAGCAGATATTACCTTCTAAAAGCAGCCGTGACATCACACTGGGCTATATATAACCTAGCGCAGCAGACAGTGCAGCTGGGGGAGGGGCCAAGCAGGCTCCACCCACTACGGCTGCAGGAAACTACAGGAGGGGGGTGGAGACAAGGACCAGTCACCAGTCCCAGAGTTCCCCCACTAGAGGTCTTATGACTTCACCCCCAGCTCTCCTCATCTCCATAACATGCAGGGGGAGCTGTTCTATAGTCCCGCACTAGGGTGACAACACTGCTCCTCCATACAGTGCAGTGTAGTGAGTGTTGTCACCCCAGGATAGGAAGTGAGTTATGACACCTTCCAGCTCCCATCATCCATAATATATAGGGGGAGGTGGTCTGTAGTCCTACACTAGGTTGACAACGCTAATCCTCCATAAAGAACAGTGTAGTGAGTGTTGTCACCCAGGACAGGAAGTGAGTTATGACCCCTTCCAGCTCTCCTCCTCTCCAAACAGAGGAGGAGGTGTTCTGTAGTCCACCATTAGGGTGACAACACTGTTTGTCCATAAAGTGAAGTACAGTGAGTGTTATCACCCGGGACAGGAAGTGAGTTATGACCACTTCCAGCTCTCCTCACCTCCATAATATAGAGGGGGAGGTGTTCTGTAGTCCTGCCCTAAGGTGACAACGCTGCTCCTCCATAGTGTATAGTGATTGAGTGTTGTCACCCCAGGACAGGCCATTGATTGCCGGACACCCCAGCAGTACCCCCGGGGGGGCTGTCCCTTCCATGGACTGACCTTTATGTCGGGGGGCCGGGGGGGACTGACCTTGTTTGGGGGGGGGTCGTGGGGGACTGACCTTGTTTGGGGGGGCCGCGGGGGAGGCTGACCTTGTTTGTCGGGGGGGCCGCGGGGGGGACTGACCTTGTTTGTCGGGGGCCGCGGGGGGGACTGACCTTGTTTGGGGGGGGGTCATGGGGGACTGACCTTGATTGTCGAGGGGGGGGCCATAGGGGACTGACCTTGTTTGTTGGGGGGCCGCGGGGACTGACCTTGTTTGTTGGGGGGCCGCGGGGGGGACTGACCTTGTTTGTCGGTGGGGCCCGGGGGGGACTGACCTTGTTTGTCGGGGGGCCGCGGGGGGGACTGACCTTGTTTGTCGGGGGGCCGCGGGGGGACTGAACTTGTTTTGTCGGGGGGCAGCGGGGGGACTGACCTTGTTTGGGGGGGTCGTCCGTGGGGGACTGACCTTGTTTACCGGGGCAGCCATAGGGGACTGACCTTGTTTGGAGGGATCGTGGGGGACTGACTGTTTGTTGGGGGGGGCCGCGGGGGGACTAACCTTGTTTGTCGGGGAGGCCGCGGGGGGGACTGACCTTGTTTGTCGGGGAGGCAGCGGGGGGGACTGACCTTGTTTGTTGGGGGGCCGGGGGACTGACCTTGTTTGTCGGGGGGTCCGGGGGGGGACTGACCTTGTTTGTCGGGGGGCCGGGGGGGACTGACCTTGTTTGTTGGGGGGCCGCCAGGGGGACTGACCTTGTTTGTCGGGGGGGCTGCGGAGGACTGACCTTTGTTTGTTGGGGGGGCAGCGGGGGACTGACCTTGTTTGTCGGGGAGGCAGCGGGGGACTGACCTTGTTTGTCGGGGAGGCAGCGAGGGGACTGACCTTGTTTGTCGGGGGGCAGCGAGGGGGACTGACCTTGTTTGTTCGGGGGGCCGCGGGGGGACTGACCTTGTTTGTCGGGGGGGCAGCGGGGGGACTGACCTTGTTTGGGGGGGGTCGAGGGGGACTGACCTTGTTTGTCGGGGGGGCCAGCGGGGAACTGACCTTGTTTGTTGGGGGGATCGTGGGGGACTGACTTGTTTGTTGGGGGGCCGGCGGGGGACTGACTTGTTTGTTGGGGCAAGTTTGATCGGGGACAGCTGGGGGGACTGACCTTGTTTGGGGGGGACTGACCTTGTTTGTCGGGGGGGCCGCGGGGGGGACTGACCTTGTTTGTCGGGGGGCCGCGGGGGGACTGACCTTGTTTGTCGGGGAGGCTGCGGAGGGGGACTGACCTTGTTTGTCGGGGGGGCAGCGGGGGGACTGACCTTGTTTGTCGGGGGGGGGTGACCGGGGGGGACTGACCTTGTTTTGTCGGGGGGGGCTCCGGGGGGACTGACCTTGTTTGTCGGGGGGGGCGGCCATAGGGGACTGACCTTGTTTGGGGGGGGTCGGGGGGGACTGACCTTGTTTGTTGGGGGGGCCGCGGGGGGGACTGACCTTTGTTTGTCGGGGGGCAGCGGGGGGGACTGACCTTGTTTGTCGGGGGCCGCGGGGGGACTGACCTTGTTTGGGGGTCGGGGGCCGTCGGGGGGGGCGGGGGGACTGACCTTGTTTGTCGGGGGGCAGCGGGGGACTGACCTTGTTTGTCGGGGGGGCAGGCGGGGACTGACCTTGTTTGTCGGGGGGGTCAAGCGGGGGGGACTGACCTTGTTTGTCGGGCAGCATGAGAAGGGGACTGACCTTGTTTGTCTGGGGGATGCAGCGGGGGGGACTGACCTGTTATGTCGGGGGATCCCCACTGAGCTGGGGGGACTAACCTTGTTTTGTCGGGGAGGCCGCGGGGGGGACTGACCTTGTTTGTCCAGGGGAGGCAGCGGGGGGGACTGACCTTGTTTGAAGAAGGGGGGGCTTTCTATTGCGGGGGACTGACCTTGTTTGTCGGGGGGGCGGGGGGGACTGACCTTGTTTGTGGGGGGCAGCAGGGGACTGACCTTTGTTTGTCGGGGGGGACCTGGGGGGGAGGACTGACCTTGTTTGTTGGGGGGGGCAGCGGGGGACTGACCTAGTGTTTGTCGGGGGCTGCGGGGGGGCAGCGGGGGGACTGACCTTGTTTTCGGGGGATGTTTATAAACAATGGGGTATCTCTCCATCTCCCGTCTGATCGGGGGGATAAACAATGTTACTTTGTATTCTATCCTTGTCACTGACCGGGGATGTCATCGAGGGGGCTGATCGGGGGGCCTGATGCGGGGGGTGAACTTGATGTCGGTTTAGCGGGGGACTGACAATGTTACTTTGTATCTGGGGGACTGACCTTGTTTGATCGATGTTTATAGGGAACTGACCTTGTTTGGGGGTATCTCGTGGGGGATCTGACTTTGTTTGTTGGGGATGCCGCGGGGGACTGACTTTGTATCTCTTGGGGGGCCGTCTGATCGATGGGGACTAAACAATGTTACTTTGTATCTCTCCATCTCCCGGGTCTGATCGACCTTGTTTATAAAGCGGGGGGAATGTTACTTTGTATCTCTCCGGGGGATCTGACCTTGTTTGATCGATGGTCCGGGGGGGACTGTTACCTTGTTTCTCCATCTGCCCGGACTGATCCTTGTTTGTAAAGCGGGGGGACTGACTTTGTATCTCTCCATCCGGGTTCCTGATCGACCTTGTTTATAAACAATGGCTGCTTTGGGACTCTCCATCTCCCGTTGTCAGGGGAGGCAAATTTATAAACTGACCTTGTATCTCTCCATCCCCCGCTGGATGTTTATAAACAATGACCTTGTTTCTCTCATGCGGGGGGGACTGACCTTGTTTGTCGGGGGGGCAGCGGTTTATAAACAATGACCTTGTTCTCCATCTCCCGTCTGATCGATGTTTATAAACAATGTTACCTTGTTCTCTCCATCCCCCGTCTGATCGATGGGGACAATGTTACTTTGTATCTCTCCATGTCCGGTCTGATCGATGTTTATAAACAATGTTACTTTGTATCTCTCCATCTCCCGACTGATCGATGTTTATCGGGGGGCAAACGGGGGGGGACTGACCTTGTTTGTCTCCATCGGCCCGTCTGATCATGTTTATAAACAGGATGTTACTTTGTATCTCAGGCCATCTCCATTCTGATCCGATTTTTTCATAAAAAACTTTGAATCCCCATCTCCGTCTGATCGAAGGTTTATAAAGAATGTTACAATTTGGATCTGTCCATCCATAGGCTGGGTCTGATCGATCGTTTATAAACCATGATATCTGGGGGTATGTGACCCATCGGTGGGAAACCCCTGACACAATGTACCAGCAACCCAATCATTCTGATCTGTTTATAAGCCCCGCCTTCTATCAATTGAAACACGCCCCTCCAATCACGGGACTCTGCCTAGGCAGCGATGATGTACATCAGTGTGATGTCACCTGTCAGTATGTTTATAAACAATGTTACTTTGTATCTCTCCATCCCCGTCTGATCGATGTTTATAAACAATGGACCCCAAAGTATCTCATGATAAGTGTGAATGAAATTTGAAATTTTTCAATGAACGAATGTTTATAAAATTTTTCAGCGTGCACATCGATGTCTTAGACAGGACATTCGATCAGTAGAACAAATCCTACAAACATTCGATCAGAATGTTTTAAAACACTCCAAGAACATTGTATCTCAGAAGATAAAACACTCTAAAAACATTCGATCAGAAGATAAACACTCTAAAAACATTTGATCAGAAGATAAAATATTCTAAGAACTTTCGATCAGAGGAGAAAACACTCCAAGAACATTCGATCAGAAGATAATACACTCTAAGAACATTGATCAGAAGATAATACACTCTAAGAACATTCGATCAGTTTATAAACAATGTTTCTAAGAACATTCGATCAGAAGATAAATACTCCAAGAACATTCGATCAAACAAGATAAATACTCCAAGAACATTCGATCAGAGGAGAAAACACTCCAAGAACATTTGATCAGAAGATTAAACACTTTCCAAGAACATTCGATCAGAAGATAAATACTCCAAGAACATTCGATCAGAAGATAAATACTCCAAGAACATTCGATCAGAAGATAAAACACTCCAAGAACATTCGATCAGAAGATGTTTACACTCTAAAAAAACATTACGATCAGAAGATAAAACACTCTAAAAACATTTGATCAGAAGATAAAATATTCTAAGAACATTCGATCAGAAGATAAATACTCCAAGAACATTCGATCTGAGAGGAGAAAAACACTCCAAGAACATTTGATCAGAAGTTAAACACTCTAAGAACATTCGATCAGAAATAATACACTCTAAGAACATTCGATCAGAAGATAATACACTCTAAGAACATTCGATCAGAAGTGTAAAATATTCTAAGAACATTCAATCAGAAAGATAAATACTCCAAGAACATTCGATCAGAAGATAAATACTCCAAGAACATTCGATCAGAAGATAAATACTCCAAGAACATTCGATCAGAGGAGAAAACACTCCAAGAACATTTGATCAGAAGATTAAACACTCCAAGAACATTCGATCAGAAGATTAAACACTCCAAGAACATTCGATCAGAAGATAAATACTCCAAGAACATTCGATCAGAAGATAAATACTCCAAGAACATTCGATCAGAAGATAAATACTCCAAGAACATTCGATCAGAAGATAAATACTCCAAGAACATTCGATCAGAAGATAAATACTCCAAGAACATTCGATCAGAAGATAAATACTCCAAGAACATTCGATCAGAAGATAAATACTCCAAGAACATTCGATCTTGGGAGGAAATACCTAAGTATGAAGAAATGACCCAAAAGAACATTCGATCAGAAGAGAACATAACCTTAAGACATTCGATCTTTCTCGATTAACAGAGCCTCAGCTTTACACATGGTGGGAAAATTTCCTGAAACGAGTGAATGAACGAATGATCGAACGAATGTTGGGTAATTCACAGCGGCGGAATGTGCGCGGGTTTTCTCCGTTTGCTATAAACAGACCCCGTCGGTGTCACCGCGTTCCAGGCGGACGATCGGCGGCGGTTTGGGCCCCCGGTCACCTTCGATGAAAGCCCGGCTCTAATGGAAACATTTAAACTGTCGTTTTCCCCCGGCGCTCTTTTCATCTGCCGTATAATTGGCGGTTAATCTGCCGCGGATGGAAATGTCGCTTGGCTCCTCCATGCCGCGCGGTAAACGCGGAGAGTTGGCAGGACGTTCACCCCCCTCCCGGCGTTCGATCGTATGTAAGCCGGCCGCCTGCGTGCCGAGCCGGAGCTGGCTGACCTTTGTTGCTGTAAACACCAATTAAAAAGAGAAAAAGCGAACGTTCGCCCCGGACGTCTCTGGGCGCCACCGCCGCGGAATATGAAACGTTTTTTTTTTTCTACCATTTCAACCTTTTAAAAGGGAGGTCAAAGGTCGCGAGCGCAGAACGCGGATCTTGTCTCCCTCATTACACCTGCTGGTGCGCAGCGCGCGCTCAGCGAGGGGGGGAGGGGGATAGGGTGGGGAAGCCATCATGAGTCCTCGCGCACACGGGACGTTTTTACAGCGGCGGTTTTTGGACGCATAGGCTTGAGGGCCGGTTCACACTCCATGCGTTTCAACGTGCTTTTTTTTTTTTTTTGCTGCATACAAAACGCACAGAAAGTCGGTGATCTTAGTTCACATCAGCGCTTGCAGTTCCGGCGCATTCCGGGTGCAGAAAAAAAAGTAGAACAGGCGGCATTTTTCCTGCACAGAACTGTACTAAAACGCGGTAAAACGCATCAAAAACACATTGGAACGCACCAAAATGCATTGAAAACGCACAGAAAGTGGGTTAAATGGTTGTCAGTGTCATAGTTCCCATCAGCGCTTGCAGTTCCGGTGCGTTCCAGATGCAGAAAAAAAAAAGAACAGGCGGCATTTTTCCTGCACAGAGCTGTACTGGAACGCGGTACAATGCATCACAAACGCACCGGAAGGCACCAAAAACGCACAGAAAGTCGGTGATAGGTTTGTCAGTGTCATAGATCACATCAGTGCTTGCAGTTCGGATGCGTTCCGGATGCAGAAGAAAAAGTAGAACAGGCGGCATTTTTCCTGCACAGATCTGTACTGGAATGCAGTAAAACGCATCAAAAATGCACCAGGATGCACCAAAATGCATTAAAAACGCACAGAAAGTCGGTGATCTGGTTGTCAGTGTCATAGATCACATCAGCGCTTGCAGTTCCGGTGCGTTCCGGGTGCAGAAAAAAAAGTAGAACAGGCGGCATTTTTCCTGCACAGAACTGTACTAGAACGC